CCAATGGCATTTTTTGGCCAAAGTATTTTAAATCCACTTCTTCCTATGATTAATCTACTTAAATTATGTTAGGTACTTTGAGTCACTGGGAAAATACTAAAATGACCTTGTAGCCTTCCTAACTAGTCACAGCACATGCATGAAAAACTGAATAAACAAAATGAAAAGAGACTGGAAGACATCAGATAACTCACAATAAGTCTGCTTTGAGCACAAGAAACTGAATGGAAAAGAACAACTTGCTGGCTAAGGAATGTTCTTCCTAGGTTGTATGCCTGAGGCTGGAATAAACCTCAAGAAGGTCATTTGTATCTTTAATAATGTCCTCTGCCATTCTCCTTCCTATGAATGAGGCAAACTTGTCAAAATATAAAAGGGCCTTAGAGTCATCCCTATCATCGAGCCAATGTTTCCACGGAAGAGGCAATACTGTCCAGTGGAATGAGACTGGTCTGGGAATCCAACAATCTGGGTTACACCTGGCTCTCCCCTTGCCAAGCCAAGTGACCTTGTCAAGGTCATCACACTCTAGGGCCTCAGTAAAAGAGTACCTGCCTGAAAAAAACTGAAGGTCACTTCCTGATCTAAGATGCAGGAATTTTTCTTTTCTCATAATATTTTAAGGTGTCAAGAAAACACAGTTTAAGAGTAAGGGTTCCACAAATTTCGTAGGAATTAAGTTATAGACCTAAGTTTGAATCGGAGCTCTGCCACCTTGTGTGACCTTGAGCAAATTACCTAACCCTTCAGTCTCTTCACACACAAAAATAAAGGTGGTAATAGTGTCCACCACATACAGAGTGTGGATAATACATACAATACATTTATAACCTAGCTGGTGCAACATAAGCACTCAATAAAAGTTAGTAACTAACTATATCATTCCTGAGTTTGATTCATAGATCCTTAATGGCTCAGTACCTCTGAACTAAAAGAGATATGAATTTCAAAATTGCCTCAGAGACACCTAGCATGGCTCCTCATTTCACTTTGCCTCTGCATCTCTGTAAATGAGGTTAAGAAACCCTGTATCTTTTCTAGTACAATGAATCAGTTTTGACCAAATGGAAAATATGTACACATAAATGAGATAACAGAATTATGTTATAAAAATTTAGGTAACAAGACACGAACACAGTCTGTTAAGTATTAAACATTAGTATGATGTCTGCTTAGAAGACACAGCTGATGTTCTCAAGTTTTCACCATAAACTCAGACCTACTCAGACCTCCTGGGATTCCAGATTTTTAGGGTGCTCCATTCCAGATGATAACAAGGCCCAGCAACCGGCCATGGATGTAAGGAAGTTAATGGGAATGAAGGTGATCACCGTTGTTGAAGGGAAGGTAATTAAGAAATGCTTGCTGAATATGTGTATATTTGTTTTTGCAACCTTGTCTAGACTTACTAAAAAAGAACTAAGTCATGCATGCTGTAACATTCTTCATATTTGGCTAACCTAATGACTGAGCCAAATGAAGCTTGAGATGACCAATGTACAAAATATGGCAAGCCCTAATTCCCCTTGTATTTTAACTCTATCTCCTACACTGCAGTGTAATTGCAAATAAAAGGGAGGAGACCCTCACCTAATTGCATTAAGTCACAAAGTAACTCAGACTACCAAATCATTGGTCTCCCCTTGAAACCTGAATTATTTAAAGATTTCCATGCAAAATTGGGATTACAAATATTTTGTTGTATCCAGTTTTAATTTTACACATCATTCAGGATAAGCATATACTAGAATCACTATCCCACGGTTTGAAGAAGGCACTAGGCTTCTGGACAGATCCCAGTGTTTGGAGACAAACATCTAAAGTACTAGTGATATTTGAAAAAGCTCCCAGGTGAGTTCTTTATATACTTGGTAGTTCCTCACTCCTTGACATTAATCACTTCCATATATAGAAAAACTATGTCAGCAATATTCTGAAGACTGGTTTTAAAGAATGCAGATTCTTAAACTTTCTGTACATACTTTCCCCTATTATCTACCTGGCTTCAGAAAAACTCCAACAGTTTACTTTTTAATCTTTCTCTACACAATAAAAAACAAGAGATATGATTTAAATACCTAGTTGAAGAACCTAGATTCTACATGGCTCCTACCCTGTGGTCTGAATCTTTGAAACAGTACAACAAACTCTTGTTAATTATGTTCTCCTCACTCAATATGCTCCTAATTCCCAGCAATCAAAGAAAGATGATCCACTTTGAAATACAATGCTATCTACCAAGGGCACAATGTATATACTGTATGTTAGCTAACTTGACAATAAATATTTTAAAAAATAATAATAAATAAATAAATAAATAAATAAATAAATAAATAAATAAATAAAATATAATGCTATCTGGAAGTTTGACTAATCAGGTTTATACTGATAACACGACACAGCAGATAACACTACAGGCTTTGCCACTGGGCAACTTGGATATGAATCCCAGTTCAACCACACAGACACTGGACAAGCTACGCAACCTCTCTGATCCTCAATTTTCTCATCTGCAATATGCAAATGATAATGCCTACATAATAGGAAATATGTGCCCCAAAATGTCAATTCCCTTCCTCTACTACTTTCCTCTTCTCTCTTGAAAATGTTGTTGCATTCACAAATTGACCACATTTGAAAACCAGAAAAGTTTCTTGAAATTGGTATAAAAACAGATTTATAGCATCTACCTGAAACTAGAGAGGACCACCTAACATAGACGAGGAAAAACAAATTAGGGAACAGAGAAGTTTAACACAAATGTGTTTCCACGATCCCTAAACCTTGGGAAATGCAAATGTAGAACAATTCAAGTCATAACAATAAATTGGAAAATGATAAAATACCTCCAACAAGCTTACTCTAACAACTCTTGATTAGAACAAAAGTTTTGTGAAATACAAACCAGAAAGTGTTGACAAGTCCTGTTACTCAAAACGAGATGCAAGGAACTGTGTACTAGTTTATTCTCAAATCTGCTTATTTCTTTAAAAAAATTTTTTTTAAGTGCACAGGAAGATGAGTGTAATTTTTAGGTATATATAAAAGAAAAGAGGGGCGCCTGGGTGGCTCAGTCTGTTATGTGTCTGACTTGGGCTCAGGTCATGATCTCACAGTTCATGAGTTCCAGCTACACATCAGGCTCTGCACTATTAGTGTTTGGGATTTTCCCTCTCATTCTGCCCCAACCCCACTTGCATGCACTCGCTCACGCTCTCCCTCTCTCTCAAAAATAAACTTTAAAAAAAGAAAACAAATAAGTCAAGGTCCAGGATCTCTGTTAAGCTCTCTTCCACTAAAGAGATACCTACCAATATCTATTCAAACAAATACCAAGTATCTAATATCTGCCAGCAAGTGTAGCTTTAAAAACTCAGCCCTGGGGCGCCTGGGTGGCGCAGTCGGTTAAGCGTCCGACTTCAGCCAGGTCACGATCTCGCGGTCCGGGAGTTCGAGCCCCGCATCAGGCTCTGGGCTGATGGCTCAGAGCCTGGAGCCTGTTTCCGATTCTGTGTCTCCCTCTCTCTCTGCCCCTCGCCCGTTCATGCTCTGTCTCTCTCTGTCCCAAAAATAAATAAACGTTGAAAAAAAAATAAAAATAAAAATAAAAATAAAAAAAACTCAGCCCTGACCTATCCTTCCCAATACAGGAAAACTTTATATAACAACACTACAAAATTAGCCGCATGGTCCTGAGACCCAATAATCTATAATTGCTCCCTTACTGTAATTCCCAAGTCTGAAAATGTTCCCCCAAAGCTTTGCACTTCCTCATTCTTATAGATGTCACTACCTCATGCCCCTGCCTCTTAGACTTGGTGAAGGCCCAGCGCACTGGTCCAATAGGATCCACCTCTCGGGCTGGGTCTGTTTATTTTCTCCTCATATCACATCCTAGGATCCACCTCTCAGGCTGGGTCTGTTTATTTTCTCCTCATATCACACCCAGGTCTGGTAACTCTGAAACCTTGGTTTCAATGCTATCACTCTCCAGCAAAATTCTTGATCTCATCCTATCCTTTAGGTAGGTCCCTAAGGCCCAGATGCCTTTTTTCCTATACCACGCCCTCAGACCTGACATCCATGGACATCAAAGTCATTCACAAACTGTGTTAAACTCCAGTCTATCTTAACTGTAGAGAACAAACTGATGGTTACCAGGGGGGATACAGGTGGGGGGGGGGGGTAGGTGAAACAAGTGATGGAGATTAAGGAGTGCACTCCCCGCCACGAGCACTGGGTGTTGGGAATTGTTGGATCATTACGTTATACACCTGAAACTAATGTAACACTCTATGTTACCTATACTGGAATTAAAAAACAAAAACAAAAACACCTCCAAGTCTAGCACTCTTGGATCTCAAAGACCGTCTCAGACCCTAACTCAGGTTTCAGCGTTTCCAAGCATGGCACCCTTGGGGCTTGTATGCCTCTCTATGGTGGGCCACGCATGTTCCACGGAGTGTACCTCTGGAGTTAGGAGTGCCTCCCACTCCGGGCCGTGCACAGGCTATCCCCACAGTACCTGCCAGACCATCACCCTGTTTCCCCCTTAAGGTCTCTAGGCTCGCCCCCGGCCTCCACCCCACGCCTGCACCGGAGGGGGTCACCGCCCTGCCGTCCGAGCCCGAGACGCGCGCATCCCCGCAGCCTCCGACTCCATCACCCCCCAGGCCCGAGCCAGCGCGACCAATAAGGTGCCAGGTCCGCGGCCTCCCCGCCACCGACCAATCACGAGCGAGCCCCCCCGCAGTCGCCTTCCGCCAATGGGAGAAAGCCCGCGGGCCGGGCCGACGAGGCGCACGGACCCCAGGAGCGCGACGGCGGCGACAGCGGCGGGCCTGGCGAGAACACAACATGGCGGCGGGCAGGCCGGACCGAACTACAGCGGCAGCCGCGAGAGGGAAGTGAGGTCTCCGCCGAAGGCGGGAAGCGCTGCCCCTCCCCCCGCCGCCGCTCGCCTCTCACCCTCCCTCCCACAGACGCTCCCGCACACTCACACGCCTCTGCTCAGGAGTCCAGGGAAGAGCAGGAGCCGCCCCCGCGCTCCTGCGGAGTCAGGCAATGCAGAGGCCTGGGCACGGCGGAGGGGAGGGGGAAGCGTGCGTCACGGAGAACGGAGCGCGCGCGAAGCGGGGGCACAAACAAGATGGCGGCCACGCCGTTTGCACCGTCTCCCCCCACCTTCCCCTCCCCCTCCCTTGGCGCCTTGACTCCCAGTATCTTGAAGTGCGCAGAAGCTGGGTTGTTTGAAATCTCGCGAGAATTAGGAAGGGGCGACGACCTGGGGAGGCGGAATGAGATCAGAGAGCCTTCTGACCCCACCCCCTTCTAGGGGACCCGGAGGCGTTGCCTGGTGACTTCCACAGGGTGTTTTCTGCTTGGCGTTTGATGTGGTGCGCACCCTCGAATGTTAGGAAATACGTTTTTTTTTTGGTTTTTTGGGTTTGTTTAATTTGGAAGGAAAGAGCTGGGGGGACGAAGGACGACACGGGGATGCCAGATTACGTGCGCCGGTAAAGAAGATAGCTACCAGTACCATAAAAAGGGATTTAACACCAAAACTGTAAAATGTTATACTCCAGAGTAAAGAACAGCACATCCCAAGAATTGTCGCTGGTAACCTTACGTCGACATAGACACTGCTTTTCTCATTTAAATGCAGTTTAAAACTTCATCAAGACGATTGAAAACCCCAGTTACAATGGGCATTACATCTTTTTAGCTCTTTCATCTCCGCAACCGCTTGGTCCCAAGGCGTTAGTATTTCTGTTTTACAGATGATAAAACTGATGCTCAAAGGGTTAAGTGACTTGATCAAAGTCCCACAGCTATTAAGTGTCAAAACTCAGTGTGAGTAGCTCCAAAACTTGTCGATAAATTCACCAAATACGTATGGAATGGGACTATCTACATTGAACCAATGGGTTAGGTGTAAGCACAGAGACAAATGAAACTGCTGGTGCTACTGGTTACCTTAAATTTTATAAATGACCTTGGAGCCTTTCTGAGACTTGGGTTGCAGGGGTCTTCAACATTATAACCAACACACTATTATTATTTCTTCCCTTTGAGTGTATGACCCTGGTGATGAAGGTGTTGAGCATACTGGAATAAGCCCTTGACTTGAATTCAGGGAAATTGTTTTCAGATCCAACCTGAATAAATCTCACTTCAAGCACTCAATAAATATTTGATGAATGAATGAACAAAACCTAACTAGCTATACGACACCTGACTTCACTGAGTCTCAATTTCTTTGTCTGTAAAATGATCTAATTCCTGTCTCCTGGGAGTGTTGGTTGGGGCGATTGAATGAAATAGTGTAAGGGAGAGTGCTTCACAAATTGCAGAAGTGTCATAAAGAAGTTAGTGATAATGGTGACATTTTCAGACATGAGAAATGGCATTAAAAATTCAAAACAAGAGATGGGGCGCCTGGGTGGCTCAGCTGTTTGACCATCTGACTTCCACTCAGGTGATAACCTTACAGTTGGTGAGTTCAAGCCCTGCACCAGGGCTCTTTGGGTTCAGCACAGAGCCTGCTTCAGGTCCTCCATCCTCCTCCACCCCCCCCCCCCCCCCGCCTCTCTGCCCCTCCCCCACTGGCACTCTCAATCTCAATAAACATTAAAAAAAAAATTCAAAACAGAGAGACCCAAAATAAATACTATGTTAAGATAGTACAGAGATGAGCTCAGCTAATGGGAAAAAGCTAAGTGAGTCTTTCTACAAATACTTATTAAGTTAATTATTGCATATACTTTGTTGCAAAAGATGTAAAAATGTGTAGGAATGAGCACAAATTAGTGTTATTAGATAGTTATAATGAAGTATTGACAGCACATAGGGGCTTCAGTCAGTTTCCCTCCAAGAGCCTGGAAATCAGGTTGCCCTCAGAATTAAACTAATAAGAATTTACATAGTGGAGGAAATCAGCCAAAGGTGATTATAAACATATTTAACTACAAGTAGGGCTCAAGCATTGATCTAGCAGATTTGCAGTCCATAAACTGTCCTGGAGAGATCTTTCTGTGCTAGATATTAACCCTTTAGTTGCTAATTTGTGAGTAGTAGTTCCCAGGAGTGGGGAGTTCTCAGGAGGCTTGGGACAGCAGGCATTAATCAGCACAAAACCATTTCGCTATTTTGATAGTATTATAACTGGTACCAGTCATACTGGTGCACAGGCTGAATACTTGTCCTTGTTGTAGACTATTATTATCAATATTCTCTGCCCCTGCCTTTCTAAAACCCTGCCTATCTGGTCTGTCTGTCCCTGGGATGTTATACTTCTCACACTAATGTCATCAAGCTTGGTGTTACTTTGGTCAATGAAATATGCAATGACATGAGCCACTTCTGAACAGAAATAAATGGGCCATCTAATGATTCCGCCGTATTGTTTTTCCTCTGCCTTGAGAGCAGCATGTCCCAAATAGAACTGCTTCTCCAGGGTTGGTCCCAGAACGAAGATGTGCAGAGCCACAGCTGATGTACATGACCTGTAATGTAAGGTGAGTGAGAAATAAACCTTTGTTGCAAGCCACTGAAATAGGTTTAGTTGTTTGTTTCCGTAGCCTAACCTAGCTAGCCTAAGCTGACTAATACAACCCTAAAATTAGCTATCTGTGGCAGTAAGCCAAGAGTTTCTCTACAAACATGATCAAAAAGCAAACCAAACTCTGGGCCAGGTCATACAGGAGGAATCTCATGAAAGCAAATGTGATTGTAATTTAATAAATAGATGCTTAGTCAATCTTATCAACCAATCATTCTATATCCTATTTGGAGAGAGATTCTGTGAACCAAAGGGCTTAATCAGCCATGACAGCCCAAAACCGGGCAGTCACAGAGGCAAACTTTAGCATTGCCCTTCTACGCCCTGCCTCAGTCAAGCTGACCTAAGCGTTAGGATTTCCTTGTCCGTGTCATCCCTATAGTGGGTGAGAGTATCTCAGGCTGCCTCAGCTAAGAAAAGATCAACGTGCTTCCCTGGTGTGATTGCTCACTCAGCAAACGTCTCACCTATGGGGACAGAATTTAGTGACCTGCTGCCTAGAGGATCTCAGTTCTTTTGATAATGACATTTTTCATTATAAATCAATCTATTGGATTCTGGCTTATGTAACTTCCAGTCTCTGTGAACTTAGTGGATCCAGGAGTCCCCTTGAGAGATGATTCCCCTCTGTTTACTTATTAAAATCAGGGTTCTGAATTTATAAAGTTGAAGACCAGTTCTGGGATGTTGGTAAATTCCTTAAAGTTGTAGCACTGTAGAGGGACCTGTCTAGAGTGCCAGCTAGACTACCCTCAGCTATACCTCTCTATCTCCTTGTGTGCCTTCTGTGATCCAAAAGGGGCGCCTGGCTGGCTCAGTCGGTTGAGTGTCCGACTCTTAATTTTGGCTCAGCTCATGATCTTGCTGTTCATGGGATGGAGCCCCACTCAGGTTCTGCACAGATAGAATGGACCTGCTTGGGAGTCTCTCTCTCTGCCTCTCTCTCTCTCTCTCTCTCTCTCTCTCTCTCTCTCTCTCTCTCTCAAAATAAATAAATAAACTTTAAAAAGAAAAGAAAAGCAGTAAGGGTTAAAGACAGACATAATTCACAAGCTGTAGGAGTTCAAAAAAGGGAGTGATTACTTCCACGTAGTATGAAACAGGGAGGAGTTCAGGAAAGATTTGCAAGGATGTGACCTTTGAAGGGGGTCTTGAAAAAAATGAGAACTAGGGGAAGAGCATGCCTTTTGTAGGTGGCCACTGGAGCAAATATAGGAAGCAGGAGATCACTTGAGGAAACATAGAGTAAGAGGAAAAGGAAGAAGAATCATCTGGAAAGTTACATATGGTCAGATTAAGGTTCTTGGGTTTTATTTTCTGCTAAGTAGAGTTAGTGTGGAATTTTGTTTTTGTTTTTGTTTGTTTCACCACTTTAGCCATTTTTAGGTATATAGTTCATTGACATTAAGTACATTCACATTGTTTTGTAAATATCAGCACTGTCCATCTCCAGAATTGTTTCATCACCCCCTGTTGAAACTCTGCACCCATTAAACAATAATTCCCCATCCTCCCTTCCTCCAGCTCCTGGTGACAACTGTTCTGTTTTCTGTCTCTTTGCATTTGACTATTCTAGGTATCTCATGTAAGTGGAATCATTCAATATTTGTCCTTTTGTGTCTGGCTTATTTCACTTAGTGTAATGTATTCAAAGTTAATCCATATCACACCAAAATTTCATTTCTGTTTATGGCTGAATGTAGGATTTTGTTATGTATATATAACACATTTTGTTTAACGTTTATCCATAAATGGACATTTGAGTTGTTTCCATCTTTTGGGTACTGTGAATAATGCTGACTATGAATATTGGTGTACAATTATCTGAGTCTCTGCTTTCAGTTCTTTGGGGTATATACCTAGAAGTGAAATTTCTGGGTCATATGGTGATTCTGTGTTTAATTTTTTGAGGAACTGCCATACTGTTTTCCACTGTGGCTACACCATCTTCCATCAAAACTTCAAAACTTCCATCACCATCAAAAACTTCCCAGTGATAGAAGTTTTTACAAAGGGATTGAAATGGTCAAACTGCATTTAAAGACAATCTGGCAGAGATAATAAGATGGAATGGGATTGTAAAATGACCACTGGAGACTTTCACAGTAGTTCAGGCAAGATGCAATGAGCTTCTGAATACATCAGTAGCAGTGAGAATGGAGAGAAGAGTGTACAAGTGCAGAGGTGACATTTCCAAGGTAGGATTGGAAGGACTGGAGAACTGATTGACTATTTCGGGGGACAGGGGAGAGGGGATCAAGAGGTGTTTAATATGACTTCCAGCTTTCACAGTTAGGAGGATGGCGGTCTCCAGATGAAGACTTCTGGACTTTTTCAGAGCATGGAGAAGTCACGGGTTCAGGTTGGAACAGGTAGAGTTTGAATTATACATGAGACATTGTAAGCTATAGGTGGACATTTGTTGTCTTGCCTGCTCATTGTCTTTGCCCTTTCAACTGAAATGGCACTGTACGTTTTTTCTTCTTTTAGATTGTAGAGCCATCCTTCTTCATCTGCATGTAGTGCTGGGCTGGGAGAGTGTGTGGCCATGAGAATGCACTTTTCAGATCTCCAACTGGGAGAAGTGTAACTCCTCAGCAGCCCAGCTGCTGAGCTATGAAATCCATCACCCCTCTCTCCCAGGCTTCACTCCCCATGGGCTGCTCCTGGCCACTGACAGCCCAGCAGGAATTTCAGGACAGGATTTTTTTTTTTTTTAGGATAAATGGATACTCTTCTGATGGGTGACTTTGGCTCAAGGACTCCTCAAT